GAAGAAGAAGAGGAAGAGGAAGAAGAAGAAGAAGAAGAAGAAGAAGAAGAAGAAGAAGAAGAAGAAGAAGAAGAAGAAGAAGAAGAAGAAGAAGAAGAAGAAGAAGAAGAAGAAGAAGAAGAAGAAGAAGAAGAAGAAGAAGAAGAAGAGGAAGAAGAAGAGGAAGTGGAGGAAGAGTGAGTCGGTGAGTTGCAGTATTACTATAGTACTTTTTAGTATTAGTACCTGTTGGGAGAGACACAGATGTCCTGCATGTAGAACTTGATGGCCTTGGACTGCTCCTTGTTCTTGAAGTGGTAATCAGCGATCAGGTAGAACATCTCGTTGATGATGGGGGGGGCAGCGGCGCCACCTTCAGGGAGGCACGGAGTCTGGGACACAAGAAAAAAAAAAAAAACACAGAGACGTTCACTCTGGGTTTTCACAGAAAGTCTTGGGGTCAGTCACCAAAAAAAAAAAAAAATATACATACACAACAATACATACATATACGCACATATATACACACATATACACGCATATATACACTAATATACGCATATATACAGATATATAGACATATATAATCAGCTATATACACATATATGTATATATATACACATATACACATGTATATATGTATACATATACATATATACATACGCGTATATACATGTGTATATATGCATATACACATATATACACATATACGCATACATATATACATATATACACATATACACATGTATATATGTATACATATACATATATACATACGCGTATATACATGTGTATATATGCATATACACATATATACACATATACGCATACATATATACATATATACACATATACACATGTATATATGTATACATATACATATATACATACGCGTATATACATGTGTATATATGCATATACACATATATACACATATACGCATACATATATACATATATACACAAATACACATGTATACACATATACATGTGTACATATTTACATATATACTCATATATACACAAATACACATGTATACACATATACATATATACACATGTATATACACATATATACACATATGCGCATACATATATACATATATACACAAATACACATGTATACACATATACATATATACACATGTATATACACATATATACACACATATACACATGTATACACATATACATATATACACATGTATATACACATATATACACACATATACACATGTATACACATATACATATATACACATGTATATACACATATATACACATATGCGCATACATATATACATATATACACATATACACATATACACACATATATACACATATACGCATACATATATACATATATACACAAATACACATGTATACACATATACATGTGTACATATTTACATATATACTCATATATACACAAATACACATGTATACACATATACATATATATATACACATATATACGTATATATATATATATATACACATATACACAAATACACATGTATACATATATACACATATACACACATATATACACATATATATATACATATATACACAAATACACATGTATACATATATACACATATACACACATATATACACATATATATATACATATATACACAAATACACATGTATACACATATACATGTGTACATATTTACATATATACTCATATATACACAAATACACATGTATACACATATACATGTGTACATATTTACATATATACTCATATATACACAAATACACATGTATACATATATACACATATACACACATATATATGCACACGTATACGCATATATACATATATACCATATATATACATATGCAGATATACATATATACACATATGTACATATACACATATATAGTATAGTATATATAGTAAAAAGAAGAAGAAGAAGAAGAGGAAGAAGAAGAAGACGAAGAAGAAGAGGAAGAGGAAGAAGAAGAGGAAGAGGAGGAAGAAGAAGAGGAAGAAGGAGAAGAAGAAGAAGAAGCAGAAGAAGAAGAAGAGGAAGAGGAAGAAGAAGAAGAGGAAGAAGAAGATGAAGAAGAAGAAGAAGAGGAGGAAGAAGAAGAGGAAGAGGAGGAAGAAGAAGAGGAAGAGGAGGAAGAAGAAGAGGAAGAAAAGGAAGAAAAAGAAGAAGAAGAAGAAGAGGAAGAAGAAGATGAAGAAGAAGAAGAAGAGGAGGAAGAAGAAGAAGAAGACGAAGAGGAAGAAGAGGAAGAAGAAGAAGAAGACGAAGAAGAAGAGGAAGAGGAAGAAGAAGAAGCAGAAGAAGAAGAAGAGGAAGAAAAGGAAGAAGAGGAAGAAGAAGATGAAGAAGAAGAAGGAGAAGAAGAAGACCCCCCCGGGGGGGGTGGTCACTGACCTTCTCCGTCATGCCCTCGATGTAAGCTGCCACCTCGTCCACGGGGAGCATGGGGGTGTCGCCCAGGGGCGCGATTCCGGCGAACCTCCTCAGCAGGTTGGCCACCTCCGCCGACACCGTGCTGGTCTTGTAGCTGTCGAACTCCGGCAGCGACTTGGGCTTAAAGTACTGGAACATGAAGAGAGCGTCCGTCCACTGGAGCTCCACCTGCAGCGAGGACACGACAACAAGAGAGTCGGACAGGAAGTTCCAGTTCTTAGGGTCAGGTGTATACCGGGAGGGGTGGGGGGGGGGTTCCCCGACCTGTGGAGAGGAGTGGTCCTCCAGGTAGCGGGCCTTGCTCTTCTTACTGGGGTAGGCGTAGAGGCAGAAGAAGCACTGCTCCAGAGCCGTCTCCAGCTCCTCCTTGTAGGGATGGGAGTCGGCGGCGGAGGAGAGAGCGGAGAACTCCTGCTGCAGGACTTGGACCTGGAGCAAAAAAAATATAAAAATATATATATATATATATACATATATAAACATATACACATATATAAGAATATATACATATATACGCATATATATATATATATATATATATATATATAAATTTTTTATTTATTTATTTTTTTTTATATATATTTTGTGTGTGTGTTTACTTGGATTTA